ACTGAAAATAGGTCATTTGTTATGTCAGTGACTATACAGAAACCTGAGAGAACTCACAGCAAGGGTATAATGGTGAAATTGTAAAACAGCTTTCAGGGCTATATCAGCAGAAGCTAAAATTAATGTTTTGATAAAGATCACTTAAAAACAAAATTATTTCAAATCATTGACATATTAACATAAAATAGGCATATACATGCATATGTATATATATTCATAAGCATTAATAACTGCCTGAAACAGATGATGGCAAAGCTTTGTTTGTTGTCATGTCATTTAGTCTCCTTTGGCCACATAATTTATGCTACTTAGAAACTTCAGAACTCTAGGAAACGTGCATTTCTATAGAAAATGGTAAGTATAGCACTCCTCTGTTTCCATTGCAGTAGACAGGTACAACTATATAACTGACTGCATTATACCTATGTAAATCAACTTAACAAAATTCCTATTCATGAAACTTAGAGTAGACATGGAAGGTAAACTTCCATGCTAGAAATTTCAGCAGTAAATGTTTTACAACTACCTAATAGCTGCATGTGTACTTTCTTGGAAAGCCCTCCAGAGACCCCTGAAAAGTAAAGTGTGTGTTCCATTGTTTGTGGCAGAGCAGTGGCTCTGTCTCTAAGTTAAAATTCTGTGGTACAAGCAACTGGCCCTTATAACTCATTCTGTCCTTCTTCGGGGAACACTATAAACTAACATCAGTTTTACAGAAAGTAGAAAGTCATTTTGTGTGGATTTGCAGATTAGCATTAACTGTTTACTTCTTTTATTTTTTGTCTTTCTTTTAAAAGATCTCCATTGATTATCCTGACACCTGCTGGTGAGGGCACAGTTGATTCCAGTCGTTTCTCTTTAACAACTCTCCAGAATCAGATCTTTTTTAGAGGTATTTGCAGTGATAATTAAGTGGCAATTCATTCCATTTAAGTATTTATAGTAGTTAATTTGTCACATTCTTACACAGGAAACCATGAGGAACGCTTTAATAATTACTTCATTTCATATGGACAATCATTTGACTAGGTCCAAAATAGCACGTTTGCTTTGACTAACCAAAAGATAGTATAATCATTACATGGGTTGTGATAAAGAACAAAAACGGAATAAATATGCTGGGCATCTTTCTTGAAACACGAGTAAGAGTTGAATAATAGAAATCAGTTTGCTTTGGTTTCATACATTTTTAAAATAATACCAGTTTTTAAAATATTTAGCAAATAAAAAGAGTAAATTGATTAGCTAGGATAGAAGCCATACTACTAATTACATATTTGCAAAATTTGAGTTTTTTTTTTAACTCAGTACCTACCCATTATGATTTACTTCTGGTTTGAACTGAGTTCTGAAGCCTACACAGTTTTTTTGGCAAGGATACAATAAAACTCCTACATCATAAATCATACTGAACGCTGTTGCACCTGCCAGTGTATGCAGTAAACAACAAATATCAGAATTACTTTCTTAGGCTTTAGAAATCTCTCCAATGAAAATGAGTTTTCAACAATTATACATAAATGTTAATATATAAAGTCCATCCTATTATTCAAAAGAAAAACTATCTTAAGAATAACTTACCTAATTAAAACCTTTGTCTTAATTAACATCAAGGAAATCAAGAGTTTGTGGTACTAATTTAGGTGCCAAAACTGTCAAACATATTTTATAATAGTATCCAGTAACTGTGCCATTTAATTATAATCATGTACATTTTATTCCTTTACATTATTGTAATTTTATGAGAAGAAAATCATATGTACCTAGAGAAAAGAGCAAACCTTATTAAAATATTTATTAAAAGTATCTTAGATACTGAATACATGTTTTACATGGACAGTGAAAGTACAATATTTGATTAAAAATACTAACGTTTTAATTTAAGCACATGTTCATCGAGATCTCTGCAACTTTGAGACTAGAGAAGGAAGACTATACAAAACCAAAGAAGACAGAATAGATCCTTTCAATTTTTCCACTATTTTTATTTTAATTTTCCAAGCCATATAAGTTTTCAAACAAAGTACATTTCAATTCTAAGCAAACACTTCAAAAATAATCAGAAAAACTTTTTGCAGAACCAGAGGAAAAACCTGTGTTGTGTCATAGCAGTGTATGGGAGAGCCAAGATTTTTATGTTAGTGTCAGAATATCATAGTGGGAAACTTTATCTTTACTTAATTATTGTTTTCAATAAAATATTTTAAAATTAATTTTAAATGTTTCACCTTGAATCTGAAATTAACATTTATTTTTAATTATAAAGTTAATGGTAATGTAAATTTGGTAATGAAGACAAGAATGTGTAATAATAACAAAAAGCACAAAACCCAGTTATTTCAGCACAAATATTGCTATGTATCTCAGGAGCATAGTGCTTTCTGGAGTGAGATTGTTCAGGTTTTAATTTCTTCTCATGTAGTAGTAACCAAAAATTACCACTGATTAAAAAATAGAAATGCGATTACCAGAGATTCATAGTATTTAGGACATGTCTAGATTTTAAACAGTGCCATTTGCTTAAAGACTTCAGGCACAAACTGCAGGCAAGGATGGGGCCAGATTGCATAAGAGTCACGTGCGTTCTGTAACTGTATGCATGTTATTGAATTTTTTAAGCAACCCATAATGATGAATAATTTAAGAGTTAATAAAATATTCAATCTGACTGATCCATTGGTTTAATTTTAAAATAAAGACAACTAATAAAAGAAGTTACTTACAATTACCAAATTCCAGACATTAATGCATGTAAATTGTAATCACTAGGAGGGAAACACTAATTCCTACAAGGCATCAGCGATATCAGATACATGATATGGGATCGGGAGGCAAAGAGGAAAATTCTCAGTTTAACACTGCTTCAATAAGTTTGCTTAAAGTTTAATTGTTTGGAGCTGTCAGGAAAGCCGTACTCTGCCTTCTGCAAAGCTGAGGGAGAAAAAAATTGGAGAGGTGCAAGTTTAGCAAAAAAAAAAAAAAAAAAAACCTAACTCAAAATGGTCCTTTCTATCTCTCTACCCACATTCTGGTTTGCAAAAGGAGGAATCTACTGAAGAACATGGAGTATACAGTTGCCCAAGCATTGTCTAGGAGAACCAAATGGAAAGCTTAAGGTAATGTCTGCATGCTTGGCAAGACTGGTGGAGTTTAAGCTATGCCCTCAACTTGGGCATCTTTAGGAGACAGAACTCCTGGCAGCCTGAACTCCCTACCTCCCAAGGCTCCTGCAGACCCAGGGAGGCAAAAGCAGCCGCACCTGCTATATGCACTTTCTCCTCTTCCATATCGCCGCCCTCCACCTCTGAAGGGGGCAGATGGTGATGGTGGCGACAGGGTGTAGGTGAGAGAGAGAGAGAGAGAGAGAGAGAGAGAGAGAGAGAGAGAGAGAGAGAGAGAGAGAGAGAGTGTGTGTGTGTGTGTGTGTGTTCCTGTTTAGAGTAGGGCGAAAGGGAAGGCGGGGAAGAAAGGAGAGGGGAGTGCCTGCAGTTCTTCCCTTTCCCTACCTGCTAAGGGATCAAAGTGCAGATGGAAATAAAAGAAAGGAAAAATACCGGCGATGGGGGCATTATCTTTTTCTTATCGCTGGGGACTTAGCCAAGCAACTCCGGAATCATTACCATTCCTTAACCTTCAGTATAGTGGCCGCCACTGACGGATAACCAGAAGGGCACTTTGGTGAACACAGGCGAGGAAAACACCTCCTTACACGCCTACACGGCTTGGGAAAATAGCCACACTCTGCGGGAGGGAGGTATACCAAGGCAAGGCGCGGCCATGGATCTATGGGGGCAGGGAAGAGAGGGCATCTGAGCAAGAACATCGGACTTCTAGGGCAAAAAGTCGCCCAAAAATCCATCCTCTAAACCAGATAAAATGGGTACACGGATGGATGCTGTAGAACAGTCACGCAGTGTGTAATCTCAAATGGATTCCAGTCAATGCATTTTTTAATCCAGCTACCTTTTCTAGAGGCACAGCGTTTCAAGCCGTGTAATAGCTCTCCACTTAAAGCTGTCTGTGCATAATTCTATTACCCCTGGATTCCTTAAAAAGGGTCAACCCGCATCGCAGAGCACAGAAAGGGCACCGCTCCCCAAGCCCCTCCTTAAAACCCCTACAGCTCTCTTAGCCCCTTCCCGGCGCCAGCTCGGTCGAGGCCAGCGGGAGACCTGAGTTGTGAACCGGGGTTTGTCCTCACAAGCCCCATCTTCGGAGGACCTGAAAGTCATCTCAACAACTCAGCAGGAGACTGAGTGAAGTCCTACATTTTTTAAAGGTTGTTTATTTCCTTTTTTTTTTCATTCAAGTCATGAAAAGCGTGGCCAGACCAGCTCTCACAACTTTTCCACTCCTGAACTGGGGGCGCAAAGGGGGGCTTGCACTGCAAGCTGGTCTGTTACCAAGAGTTACACTGTGGGAGGAGGAGGAGGTGAGAGAAAGCTGGGGAATTAATAGACCCCTCTCCACCTCACTCGTGACCTAAACTCCCAATGCCGGGTCTGGGTTTGCAGAGGGCTCACCCCCAACCCTGTGCCAGAGCACATCATCCGGGAGCAGACGGCCCTGCGGTTCTCCAGACTCTTCCCGCATCAACTAGACAACGCCCGGGGCACACTCGTCTCCCGCGAACCCCCACAGAAGCCCCGCCCGGCGCCCGTAGCCTGCATCTTCCGCGCTTGCTAGCTAGAAGTCGCGCAGCTACTTGATGGCCCAAAGAACCCTGAATCGTGTTTACTGGGAATATCAGCCCCTCCCGCCCCCACCTCTCTGTCCTCCTATTTTCTACATGGCATCCTTCTTGGTGCTCAACCCAGACCACTCCGCTCGGACTTTACTAGCACTTTCTCGGGGCAGCCGGAGCGCGCCGCCTCCTCCGCGCCGCCCGAGGCGCTCGCTACCCTTGGCAAGCACAGAAGCTGTGTCTGGCCCCTGTGCGGCTTTTCCCAAGGGACTCCCCGCCCGTCCCATATCCAGAGACCCAGGCCCCGCCGCCTCACCTTTGCCGAACTGGGGTACACCGAGGCTGAGCCCAATTAAGAGCCAGGCGGCTACTGAGCACTTCATGATCCCGTCTTCAGGACGTGATCCCAACTGCTCAGGGGTCGTCGCGGAGAGCAGTGTAGCCGAGGTGGCACCGCAGGACAGCAGTAGACCCCACCCCGGTTAGAGGATTCAAGAAGATGTCTCTTCCCCGCAGGTCTTTCTTAACCCAGTTCTTGGAGAGAGCGATGAAGAGTGGTGACCAGAGGGAAATGTGTCCTCTTCCTTCGCCTGCGCCCCGGCGCGCGGAGGTGGGTGAGCTCGGAGGTGGGTGAGCTCCAGAGAGCCACTGGCGGGCTCAGCCCTCTGCTGCGGGTGGGTCCTGGCCAAGGCGCGGCGGGCGGGCGGGCGGGGCGCGTGCTCCCGCGGCGGTTCGGGTCTCCCGCGCGGGCGGGCGGACCCACGGGCGTCCCGGCCGGCGGTGCGCTAGGCTCGCGCTGCTCTCGCCGCCGCGGCTGCGGGGCTTCTGACTTGGAGAACAATGAAGCGTGAGGTGGAGGGGAGCGAGCCGGCGGCCGGGAGCGCACTGTGTACAAACAGAGGCGGCGCGTGTGTGAGCCTGAGCCTCGCAAGCGCGCTCCCAGCTCCCTGGCGCCTGCCTCCCTTCCCCGCCCCCCCGCCCCTCTTTCTTATTCCCTCCCCTTCGGACTCTTCTTCTTCCTCCCCTCTTCCTTTTCTCTCTCTTCCCTCCTCCCTTTTCTGTCTCTCTCCCCCTCCCCCTCTCTCTTCTCCTCCTCCTTTTCTTTCTCCTGCTCTTCTTTCCCACTCTCTCCTCTCTCTCTTCTCTTCCCCTCCTTTTCTCCTAAGGTAGCTCCTTCTGCTGGAAGAGAAAGGAGACAGATAGGGTCAGCCACACCCTGGCACCTGCAACCGTACCAAAGTTCCTACATTGCCTGTACCTTCTCCACACAAGCTGGAGAGTCAAGGGTTAAAGGGAGCACCCCTGGTGTCCTAGACTCTGGACTCTGGGTTTCCACTACTAGCTGCATAATTAACCATGTAAAGGATTTCCCTGAACTTTTCTCAGTATAGCCTGGAAACGAATTTACGTGATTTTAAAACGTGACACTTGGGGCAAGAAGCTGCTTCAGACCTAAACCTGCTAGGTGAATTGTCCCGGTTTCCCAGGAAATAAAACTTAGTCTGCACCCAGACCCTAATCAGCCAAGACCAGGGTTGCTCCGCTGTTCTGTCTGCGCTTCAGTTAGCTCTTAGGGCTGGGAAGAGAGGCTTGGGCTCATCTATTCCCAGGGGCAAAAGGGTGAAAGCTTGTAGGAGACTTACATCTCCTTAGGCAGGACATCTGTTTCAGATAAAAAATAGGCGACTTTGGGGACTAACGCAGATCCTTGAAGGTGGGTCAAATTTCACTGCTACCCACCAAACTAGAATAAATGTACTGGTTTTTGCTGTGAAAGTGACTGAGTGAAAAATACAGTTTTCGCCCTGGCTACAGTTGTGCTTTCTACTCTGTTTTCAGTTAAAATGATTACATTCTGTACATGGATACAATTCCTGCAGCTGCAGGTACCAAATGAAACACAGCTCTATTTTTGTGTTCCCCTCTTAGAGAGCGAGTTCTTCAGGGCAAGAGGTTGAAATGGAAAATTCCGAAGGAAAGAGTAACAGGACAATTAGCCATGAAACTTCATCTTCATTTTCTTCCTTGAATTCTTTGGACTTCAACTTCTACTTTCCTTCTGGAATTTGAAGTGACATCAAGGATGCAAGACAGATGGAAAAGAATGAAGAAGTAATTCTATTTTTATGCTTAAAGCCACAGATGTTGAATAAGACACTATTGTCCATAATTGTCATAAAGTAGTCTCAAACAATCAAATTCCAACTTTTTGGCGCATCATTGTTTGTTAATTCTGGAAGTATGCTCTCTGTCAGGCTGTGGCCTGTTCATCATAAAATACTGCTTAAACTTTTGAAATGAGATGTTTAATGTTAAAGTGTTATTCCTAAAGTATAGTATTAGATCTTGAAAATCCAAAATTAAAACCATTCTCTGTGTCATGAGATATTTTAGGGGAAAAAATGGGTTAAGAGTTTTGTTTACTTTCCTGTTTTATTCGCTATTTTCACTTTTCTGATAATATATGATCTTAACAAACATGTTAGGAAATTAAATAATTTTTACAACATTTTATGATACTAAACATTTATGCTTCTTTTAATTTAAGAATGTTTTTTGAAAAACACTTTATTTTTAAAAACTACATTAAAATGTATATTTTACATGCAACTAAGCAGAGTCATGAAAGTCACTGTCATTCTTTATTACCCAGTACCAAATTTGTGAAAGGTGTTGCTCGTTTAATGCCTTTACTTCCTTAAGCCTGGTGTTCAGTCAGGAATCGATATATACTATCAAGCCCATAGCAGAACGCCCAGAGTCGTCCCCTTTTTCGTCCACTCATTGATAATGACCATCTACAATAAGACTTTCATTTGGATGATTTCTGTCATTTTCCTAATTTACATTCATAGGATTTATTTCACTTTTAAGGAACTCATATATAGACTATTCAGAAGTGGAATGTAAGAAATGTTAAAAGACCACACAAATTGAATTATGAAGGAAAAAAGGAGAGAAAAGGTAAAAGGACAAAACTGTTAGGAATCTCACATAAAGTGCTAGAAGACCTTTACTAATCACATATGATCCAGCCTATGGTTTTTATTGCTTCTCTATTTGTGCCTAAAGAGCCGAAAATGAATCTATACATCACTTGGAGACAGCACTTCCCCATTTGTTTTCTGCAGGCATTCTTTTCCATAAGATATTAATAAGTTTCTGGGAGAAAAAAAAAACAAATGTTCTATAGTCAAATAATTTTGAGAAACATTGGGCATATTAAAGCAGCTTTTTGGAGAGTCATGGGAAATGTTTGCATATTAAACATTAAACCACAGGTCCTGTGATTAGGAAACTTTACAAGAGCTATTCAATCTAGCATTTTCCAAACTTTTTTATTATAATTTTTTTTTCTCAAAACACCTGTTAACTATTGTAGGTCTAGTGCTTCAAGGAAAATAAGTTGGTAACACTGCCTTAAAATAAAACAGAATAACAGCAAAAAAACAAAATAGAGGGTGTAGAAATACTGGGAACCTGGTACCATGATTCACAGCTGTAATGCCAGCTTCTTGGGAGGCAAAAGACAGGAGGATCACACTTTGAGGCCAGCCCTTGGCAGAAGTTGGAGACTATATGACAAAAATAAAGAAAAGAAAAAGAAAAAAATGAAACAGCAACAACAACAACATGAATAATTAAAGCAAAAAGCATGCTGGAAGCCCTGAGTTGAAACCCCAGTACCACCAAATTAATATTTTTTTTAATTTACTGGATTTTGCTACCAACTAAAAACCCTTCCCCCAACAGCATCATGTATTGAAGCTTAACACCACAATGTGATGGTGTCTAGAAATGGAGTTTTTAGAGGCAACTTGGTCATGGATGTGTATCCCTTATGAACAATAACCACTCTCTGTTCTCTGCCACAGTAAGAAGACATCCACTTCTGAATCAGGAAGTAAAACCTCCCCAGACACTGAAGGTACCCTGATTTTGGAGTTCCCAATCTTCAGAAGTGTGAGAAATAAATTATGTTTAAGCCATCCACTCTATGGTAATTTATTTTACCTCCCAAAACTGTCTATAATAGTTTTCAGGAATTATCCTTCTACTTTGGATTCTGGAGCATGTCTGAATCCAGAATACAGACTGTATTCTGGATTCAGATATACCTTGGATTTGGAACATCCCTGATTTGCACTTCTGTCTCTACCTCTGTAACTTCCTTATCCAGTTAAAGTCGATTTATTGTTGAGTCTCATCTGAAAAATGAAATAGTAAAAATTTCATAGTTGTAAGTTGTGGTACATATCCCAGCAATGATGACAGAAGAGGATAAAAATAGTAAGCAGGTAAACTGTAACCATATATAGAATTTCAAAAGAATTTTCCCCAATAGCTGATTATCTCCATTCCCATTAAATTGCAAGGAAATTTTGAAACTCATCTTTCAATTTATCAAGCAACAAATAAAACTAAAGCAAATACAGTATTTCTTACTATGTCCGTCATTTTTAATAATTATAAATAAACTAAATATAGGTAGAATCTCAGATTATTTGATCAAATTATACTTGGTACTTCTGCTTTTTATTTTCCTGATGAGAGGCACGGAACCCAGGACTTCAACACAGTTTAGACAAGCAATCTACTACTGAGTTACATCCCCAGCCCAGCCATCAATGCTACTACTATTTGAGCAAAAAAAAAAAAGTGGATTTCTGACCTTGTATAAAATTGCAAGCTAATAAATTAGTGTTGTTTTATACTGACAAGTTGGTGGTAATTTGTTTTATATTACAATATGTCAATATTGTTATCCTTTTTATAACAAAAAGGAAAAAGGCATGAAATGAAGTTAATTACCTATAGTCTTAACTTAGTGTGGCAGCCAAAACTTGAATTTAAACTGTCAGAATCGAGTCCACTGTATTTGTTACCACCAATTATGGAGAGTTCTATGTTTGCTAAGTTGTGCATTTTTACATATATTGCTTTCCTAAATCATCACCCAAAACTTTATGAGATTAATTTTTTTTCCAATCAGCAGATGAGGAAACAAATGATTAAAACATTTAAGTACTTTGCCCAATATCAGGTGAGAGATAGAGCCAAGAACCACGATCTGAATCCTAGCTCCTGGCCATTATGTTCCAATGCCTGTTTGACAGTAGACTTATTATTTACATTTTGAACTTGAGTAGCTATAATAGTAATTGTGATTTTTTAGTATATCTCCCCTTCTCTCTGACCTTTTTTTTTTTTATTTATATGTGCATACAATGTTTGGGTCATTTCTCCCCCCATCCCCTTGTGAACAAAGTCCAGTCCCCTTGCTGTATTTGCCCTTGATCTAAAGTCCACGTATGAGGGAAAACATATGATTTTTGGTCTTCTGATCCTAGCTAACCTCACTCAGGATGATGTTCTCCAGTTC